TTGTGATTTTCAACCCACATTTACTATGACTCGACCGATCCTAATTGTTATAGTAATATTCTTGTCTTGATTTCTTATATTCGGGAAGCAACTGTTGCGAGATTTGGCCAATAAAAAAGGCTCGAAAATGTGAAAATCATCGAATAACAAACGATTTCAGTCTATAGTATAAACAATGAACTGCATTGAAAAATTCAACAAGAAGCGCTAATTCTTCTATTCGCCTCTTGGTTTCACTTTGCATGTGTCAATATGTAGTCAACATCGATTTTGTCCGATTTTTGACAATTTTTTTTGATTTTTTTTCTTACAACTTTTTAAATAGAGATTGAAGTCTGATTTCGGGCATTTGTGATCCATATAAACACACTTTTTTTATTGAGCTGCTGTATAGTTTTCTGTATTTTGTGAACCGTTTCTTGATATACGGTTGCTATTGCAGGACTGACATCAGTCAGTGAATCACAACACATTATTAATTTCAATGCTTCATTCTCGATTTGTTTGTAGTAATAATCATCAGGTATTAATTCATTCATTCGAATTTCGTCCACTAATTGACCTAAGAGAGCCACGTTCTAAAAAATGAAAGAGAAAGAATAAGGAGGTACAGTTGCATTTTTTCTCAAGGGTCACACCGTAACTTGACAAATTAGTCATAAAATTTTTCTTTTCAATATCTAGATGAAATCAACAAAAGATGATTCTCAATTGAACTAATAAAATCCTAAGTAAGCTGTAAATACAGACACTCAAACTATAAAACTCAGGTGCACTCTTACGATGATCGTCAACGACTGTATGCTTACCATTCCACTAATGTAAACGCAAGTAAACATCGATTTATCGGTCGTAGCTTCACATCGATCATCATTGTATCTCAGGTTCAATAGATATTGCAGCACATGAATAATGATGAAAGAAGTTCCGAATTATCATCATTGCACTGCAGTGACATTAGCGAGTTGATTATCGAAACTTGCTTTTTGAACACAGTTGCTGCTACTATGGCTGATAGTTCACGAAACTCAATGCTATTTCAAGTACCTTTTTTTTGGTGTTTTTATCGGTGTCGAGCTGATAAAATGCTAGCGAATAACAACAACCACGAGCTTGTGTACTATTATCTTGGAAGGAAATGTCATGCTCGTGATAGCAACCCAGCTGGGGTACATTCCTTCGAACATAAAACGAACAACACAGTAGATCACTTGTCAATATATTGTTCGTGTCGTGTTCTCCTACTGACCAATAAGTCATTATGGAGTTTTGTTCGTAGGGAAATTATCAGAAAAGGTTCTGTCCAGGTTTTCATCCATGCAGGGACATCACTTGTCCCGATCATCAAATGGAATACGATCAACGATTCGATACCGGTGAAGTGAGTCAATCAAATATATACTAGTTTCCGAAAATAATGAAGACAGTATGCTGGACTTCAGCTAGTCGAATAGCACAGTTCTCTGAAAGTTTCTCGGATGTTCTTCATAGACATTGAGAAAGTTTCTATTAAGAGAATGAATGCTAAATCGTAATCATAGTAATCAGAAGTTTTGGCCGAGAAAATCAGGCGCCTACTAGCAGATTACCCATACAAACTACGAGTAAAACCAGAAGACTTATAGTTTAAGTCAGACATTACATACCTTAGCTTCAAGGATTTATTGTCGGAAGAACAAAGATGCTATTGTTAGAAATACTTGCAATTTTTCCTTCTAAGTGCAAGGAGTTAACCTGGATGAATACAAGCAAACCAGGTGATTGTAATATACTATTGAAAGTCTTGGAATGGAAGACTTAGACTCACTTTTCAGCAATAGAACTCCGAATGATGTCAGAGTTCTTTTTTTCTTTTACTCTGAAAGAAGATTGTTTCTAGAGAGTAGCATAGAACGTTTTATGAAATTTTATGTCGTCTTCCTATTGAAATCATAATGAAATATTCATTATGATTTCTAATGTTTTTACAATTTTATTCGACATTTTATTCTGAGACTCAGTAAGAAAAAGTCCATTTCCAAATATGAATATATATATATAGACCTAAAAAGAATACTCTACTTTATGAACAAGAATTTATAGTGAACTTCGATGTAGCGTTTGTTCGTGTAAATACTTGATTAACTTGAATATCAACCTAATAAAAAGTAAAGGAGGAAAAAAAAATAATCATCTTAGCGAAGGTCAAAAATAATATGTAGCATTTCTTGTATAAATAAAAAAAAGAAGCTCTTGCAACAAGTAAAGTCCTTGTCATTTTTGACTTAGCATGATTATGGTCACGAAATAATCACTGTTCAATGTCAATGATCATCATGCAAATTTTGAGTATCTTGTCATTTTTCTGACAAGAATACTCTTCGTTTAGGACAAATCAAGTAATAGTAACATTTTTTCCTATTACTTGCTGAGTTTGTCCTATTTTGGAGCCCACTACACCAAATAATGCTTCCATTTATGAATGAGGAAAACTAATTGAAAATTCAGAAGACATCAGGAGACATTTATGAAAGTAAACTCAGGAATTCACGAAGATTTTTTTACTAGAATAAAAGCCGTTGAAAAAAGGAGGTTTTAAAGAATCCTTTTGGCAGTGCGCGTACTCAGTATTTTTTTTTATTTACGAGCGCATCGTAAGTGCAAGACATTTCTTTGTTGAGTGGAGCTTTTTATTTTCAGTTTCTCAATAAAAATTGCTCTTGGAATCGAAGATGTCGTAATTTTTCTTACAAATGTCTTTACATTTATTGATGTGGTGTTCCTGGACATTCACCTAAGCATGACGTTTGGCTGTGTCCTGATTTTGGTCGAAATAAATATACTCCGTACTTGTCCGATTTGATGCCGTTACACGAAGCTATCTGTATCATGGTACTCGCGAAAAGGTCGAATAACGTTGTTGTCTCACGAACTGAGTCAATAGTCGTTCTTGCCGAAGAATGCACATGCGATATGAATAATCTACTGAGATCAGTAAGTGGATTCTGTTGAATTTAATTGATTATTATAGAAGTTTCTGTTGCTTAGGGTCCAAAAGCCATCAAACAATTGACAACTAGACTTGCTCTTGTAGCCAGTTCTTTGGTGGAATTCGTCCGTAATAAGTCTGCATATCAGGATTCATTCGTTTAGAACTATTGCCACATCCGATGAAAAATAGTCACTGGAGCTTTCGAATACATCTAAATCCATTGCCATTGGTTCTATGAGGAGATCTATGAAAATCAAAACCCTTGGTTGTTCGACCTGGACGAACTAGATGATGTTCTCAAACTGGTAGATGAGGAAAAAAAGTTAGTTGATTCTGTAGCAGAATTTACGCAGGCTATTCTTTTATCCGGATCCGAGATTTAGTTGGCATATCACCAATAGTGAAATGGTTCTCATTCCACTTTGCTGGCATTTCATTCTGCTAATTATCGAACGAATTCAAGGAAAACTTGGTAATCGATCAATAACTTCTGTTACTATTCATTTTGATCGTTGACAGACGGATTTTCGATCCGATTCCTTACATTTCGAACGTCATGTACAAGGCCATATTTTACTTTCACAAGAGGCCGTCGAGAAATACAATGAACAAACGTTTCCCAAGTTGAAAGACTCGTAAGAGCATTGATTGATCTATTGTAGTAGAACTTCACTATCATCTTCATCATTGCAGATTAAATAAGCCGCCCGATTACATGGAAATGGATGCTATTGAATTAGAAAGTAAAGTTCTCATCAGACTACTTCGACTTTAAACGACAAAAAGAAAATAAACGATGACATTGTCAAATGTATAATTTTCATGACGAATTTTCTCGATTAAATTGATTTTCAACGAGAAACAAAAAATCAAAACATGAGTATTAAATTTTTAAAATAGAATTCAGTTTTGAATCGAATATAGGTATGACTGGCTAAATAGTATATACCATTCATATTTTTTAATGATATATCAGTAAGCAATTTTCCATCAGAAAATGATTCACGGACTTAAGAATAATTCATAACTTTGTCAAAGACACTCTGAACATTGTACTAAAACGATATATTTTGAAGCAATAGTTATACCATTTAGTTCAGCTTTAAATGCTCTTTCTTATGGAATATTGGATTTTGAAAATTAAAACAATTTTTTTAAAATGTAGTCCGTTAAATTTTTGAATTGAATGTATACCAAACAATTTCCAATTATTGTTGCAGAACGAAAAATCGACTGAATAGTGAAAATGTGCTAAAGATTTTTTTTGGCTGGAGAAAAGTTTCTGATGTAATAGAGATTTTAAAAAATATACGCATTTCTGTTTTGTACATCGCTTCGAGAGCTATCCACTGCACTAACTATCTGTAAAATTATATTGAATTCAAGGGAGAAAAGCTAGACTTCCGTATTCCAAAGTGCACGTGAAATACTATACTTTACTGGTACTTTAGGACACTGAAATGTTGCTATTTTTGTGGAACTCACGTATGTTTTCGAAGAAAATAGTGAGTGTAAGTTTTCAATTCGAGGTTGGCGGCTCCCCTCCTCCCTCCCCTCCCCATTACAGACACATAGCAACGGGAAAGAGAACATTACAGACATACCACCCATTAAAGACAGCCCCTCATTACAGTCCATAGCAACATAGGCTACCATTACAGACAACCTCCCATTACAGACCTTGACAAATTCGTGAAAAAAAAATTCCGTTCGAAATTGAGAGATAAAAATATAGCATTTTCTAATAATCGATTATCTTTAGAAAAGAACTATTATCTGTTGGAGATTTTAAATATTGGGTATTTTGTCATTAGTATAATGAAACCAAAGGAGATATGTGAGTTTTACATTTCAGCCCCAAAGGGGCTGCGCTAACAAGCTTTCTCTTTAATTGAATTGCATTATTACTTTAATTTTTCGTTTAGTCAACAAAGATAGATGACATTTTCAACATGTTTATTTTTAGTATTATTCATACAGATCAATAGAAAGACATGTGTACATGATATACAAATTTCTCTATGTCAAATCAATTGTTCGCTGGTAATATTTCGATTTCATCTATTTTATGATGATAAGTAGCAATTTGATTGACTTTAACTGACTTTTTATTCATTGTTGCGTTTGGTATAATTAATTGACGACGGCGGAATTTAGCACAGATAATTTTTCTAGCTTGTTCATTCGTAAATAAAATTGCTATTGACCCAACAGCAGAAGTACATGCAATGGATAAAAATGATATTGAATATAATGGCCATGGAATTGGTACTATTCTATTGACAATTGTAGAGATTAAATAAGGTGTACCACCAATTCCAAGAATACTTGTAAAAATAAAAATATTTTTAAATACTTTCATATTTCTCTTCAATCGCCATGCATTTGTACTTCTTAGATGAATACGATTATGTTGTTTAATATGCCAAATAATAATTCCATAGAGAATTGTTATTGTAATCATTGGAAATAAAAAAATGATGATGGCACTTAGAAATGATATGAGAAAGTTTTTTCTTGTTAAAGTACATACACGAGATTCATCTTCATATTGATAAGCCCCTGGTGAAATTAGCAAACTAACAGCAATAATACCACTCATTATCCAACTAATGATAATCATTATCCAATTGATACGAAAACTAAGAAGAATTCGATGTTTATGAAGAATTGTAATGAAAAAACGAGAAATTGCTTGAACCATAGAAGAATACGATATAATTGTAGCACCAAATGTTCCTAAACAAGCAATGATCTTACAAGTAAATGTATTCTTATTCTCTAAGCTAAGAGAAGTATTTTGAATGAATGCTGGTAATTGTATACAAAAGGTAATCGCATAAACAAGAAGACTAATACAAGAATTACATGATAAAAGATTAATAATAGACCAACATTGAGAATGACGATAATATACAATGATAATAATTGTCAATAATGAAAATATAATAGTTATTAGATAAAAAAACGCGAAAAGAGCACTCATAACTATTAAAAAAGTTTGATCCATTAGTATTGTTTTTAGTGCTTGTTAATTTGAAACTAAAAATGAAAAAGAAAAAGAAAAAGAAAACCTTTCCAATAAATGAAGAATTTTCAAGACGCAATTGTACGCACGTATGCGAGGAAAGAAATGAATACTGTTAATGACATGAGTTTAAGAATGAGCAGATTCATTATATGAACCTTAATGAAATGAATCAAGCATATTTTTTATTATTTATAGAGAAAAAAAATAAGTTTGACATATGGTCGTTTGTTTTAATGGGGAGCATACATATGAGTGATGAAACATTACTAGATGATTTGCATAGTCTATAAAAGAATTGATTCGTAAGCATTTACAAATCTGCAAAAAATGCTTGTCAAATAAATTTCTATAAAGTCAATTATAATCAATAACAATTGTGAATATATGTTGTCAACTCCAACTGTTAGCTTTGATGTTTGACACTTCTTCACTTTGAGTCAAAAAATGAGTTATGGAAAATTGTAGAAGATATTCTATAAATATTCATATAAATTAGCCACTGTAATTTTGTATGGTTGATGAATTTACATATAGGCTTTCTTAGAAAAATCTACTAAGCACTTGCGTATTATCAATAGCAATCTTCTTTTTTTTAATGATAGCAGGATTGCAAAAACAAGAGATCTTTTATTTGAAATAGAAAATTATTTGGTACTCTTTTCTCAAAAGATTTTGAAATTTCTTTTCACTTTAGCGTCCTTTATATTCTGTTGCTAAGAATAGTGATCGTGAAATGCTTTCTATCGAATGCAAGTAACATTCATCGAGACTCAGTTCACTTGCTTGTAAACTGATAAACTACAATTATGCATATAGGTATATTCAAACATAAACGTGCTTAAAATTAAATACTAGAAAAATACAAAAAGTCATCTAACATATAAAGGCGATGTGTTTCACGAGACCAATTTTTTTGTATTGTAAAACTTAATTTTTATGTTTATAAAGAAAAAAACACGATTTTCAACATGCTACAGTTGTCTAGTAAAGTTCACTTTATATATACGATGTATACAACTAGTAGTACAATGGTTTTAGATATTTTATGAAAGGGTAAACATCATATATCATACTTCACCTACTTTCAAATTCTGAAAAGTACTTTACCGTACTCTATCGTACTTTAACATATTTTAAGGAACCCCGAGGTATTTCATTGCATTTCCTTTTACAATAGTGTCCTTTTAGATGAAACCTTCTACTTATATCTAAATTACAGTAACCAAATAGAAGCTGTATACTCAGAAAACATACTATATAGTATACTATTAAAGTCTTTCATCGGATCCTTCAACCATATAACGAAACACTCAAGAAAGAGAACGATGGCATTCTTATCTGTGTGATACCAGCTACCAAATAACAGTTAACTGAAACATTTGTTGCTTTAATTTCTCCATCTAGAAGGAGTATGTCCGGGAAATAATGACTCCTTATGAAGTTTGACAAAAAGTAAGCGAGATCAATGAATTCGTATCTCGAATCGACTTCTCAAGAGAAAGTTCATCAGAAGACTAAGAAACCAAAACAATGATTAAAACTTTAATTTTTTATGCGCATTCGAAAGATCATAATCTAAAACCACCAAACCCATATATTAAGTTCATTTGGATGATTCATTGTAAAGTTAGTACAGATCAACTTTTTAGTATTACCTACCTAAGAAACATGATCATTTTGGAGTCTAACTCTATCTGGATTCTATTAGAAGAAATGATATTTATGATAAAGATAGGTCTAGCTATGAGCTTCAGATTCATGACATGAAAGACTTTATGTTGTTTTTTTTTCTTATAGACAAAGATTCGTATGAGAATATTTTGCCAGCATTGACCTTTATCCTTTAGTCAAGTGTTTTTTTATGTTTTAAAACAAGAGTTATGCATCTTTGAGTATAAATTATATTACTACGTAGTTCTTTCTTTTCTAGTCATTATTATATACGATTTGAATAAGAAAAATTAGGTTGTTGATAATATGTCATTAGATTTGAACATGTGGATTGGCAATAAGTTTGATTATAACAATTGAACGAGGTAAATGAATCTGATATTGAAAAATAATATTGGTTATCTATAGGAAAAAAATATTCTGACTTAAACAAAAATAACAATAATCATATGATTCATTAACACGTATTAAAACGAATTTGAAATTGTCAGAAAAATGTCAATTTAGTGCTTGATGGATTCTTTTACTTATTACACCTTTATACTCAAAATCAATTCAAGTAAATAATGTATAATTGAAAAACAAAAAGATTTAACATGACAAGCACAATATAAAAACGACGCAATTTTATTCAGAAATATTTTATCCTGAAATAAGCAAACATTGATATTGTATTTGTATTGAATCATTTTTCCACATCTGCTATTTTATTGCATATTTACTTCGATTAGTTCATAGACAATATTCTTTCACGTATGAATGTTTCATTTAACTAACCAAATGAATAATATATTTCAAAGTCAGATGCTTGTGTCATAGAAATCAAAAAAAGAAAAATGATATACATTAAGTTCTCTTATGAGCGTTTTTTGAGAAGACACATTCAACACGAGTAAGCTGCAATTAATCTAATGATTAATTTTAAGAAGATTGTTTTTTATTTATAGAAAAAAATTTCACTCATTCGTGGCACGCATTAAAATGTCGTTGTAAATTTTCATGGAAACTGATTAATAATAAAAATAAGATGAAGGAAGTATAAACAATATCGGTATATAGATGTTAGTTTACTTATACAGTCCTACGTGCATAATTATATTTTTCTTGTTTTCTCCTTCATTTTTTCTATAACAAAAAGCAACAACAATGCTCGACGATCTTTATCATCATCATGGTAAAATAAGATAACAATGTATTTACAGTGACTTGATAATGATAACTTTAGGGCATCGAACTGGATTCAGTACTACATATGGATATACTCTTAATTGAAAGACAAGGGAAGCACCTACTTTTAGCTCAATTATCAATTCTATTATGATGAATACAAAAACAAAAAAAAACTAAATGAATTTCTGTGATATAGTTATTCGAAAAAGTTTCCTACCATTGTGATAATAAAAATTTTAAATTTCATCACTACTCCTTTACATTCTGTAGATAATGATAGAGAACGTTTGGTTATTTGAAAAGACAAAAACTATTTAAATAGGTATTGGCGTTAGAATAGGAGTCTTATTTAATACTTACAAACATGGATGGATAAACATGAAGGTATCTTGATGTAGAAACATGCTGTCTCAAAACATCCTAGTGCTTAGTTGATTTAGAATCATTTTTAGTCGACAATTTGCATTCTGACGAGTTAACTTAAAGACGTCATTTTGATTAAAATCCAAGTCAATCACCTTCGGTCATACACGATTATATACCGATCAATAGCGATTATAAAAACGACAATCATTTAGGGTGGCTGTTTTTATCAATAATATAAATCATGCTTCATAGTCTGGTAAGAGCGCGAAAAAACACGCGTTCAAGTTCTGTTAATATGGCGTTTGACGCGAAGTGATCATTAAAATGAGTGTGGACATTAGAGAAAACAACAACTTGATCTATCTTCTCCGAACCTTCACTCATGCTTGAGATAACGGTGAATTTTATGAGTGATGCCATATCGATACAGCTAGAACAAATTTTCAAAGATGGAACGCTAGTTGTGCAAGAAAGTTGACGTTTTATTTATAGGATACGAATTTGACCAATTAAACTTATTTGGTTTGAAACTTCTTATTATTGTCTTAGATAACTACAGAAGATGATGTATGAAACACTTCATAAGCAAAGCAATCCGCTTGCTTAATAATGCTGCTAGCGTTGAACCACATGTTCATCGATTGTTATCTTTTTAAAATAATATGTTATATTTACCCATGTAAAATTAGAAAGAAACTATTTTTACTTAATCTTACAATAGGTTTTATGAAGCGTGTTCTCTTTGCTTATGAATATTCTAAAATAAGTGTGATTGTTGTTGCAACAGAGATAAGGTGATTACCAATGAATCATTTACAGATGCATGTGCACGTATTGTAGCCATCTCTACACAATTGTCTGGTTTAAACATGAAAGCATAGATAGAAAATAAGCATGCACAACTTTTACTTTACAATTGGTCTCTTAATATTTCTTGTTCTTCAAACTTGAAAACTCTATTTGTAAATGTGAAAAACTTTGACGATTGTCTTTATTTATTTGATGGTCGTCTGAATTAATTATCTTCATTCACTGTAATATTATTTCCATTGAAAGATCACCAATGATTGGTAATAAAGTTTTATCTAATTTGAAAGAATTCTCTTTGATCAGTTATTTACAAGATATGTTTTGACAATATCTTCATGATTATTTTTTGCATATTCTGATGCGCATTGTTTTTGTGTATTAGTATCGTTTACCTGTACAAAGAACGAATGAAAGAACAAGAAAAACACAAAGGTAAAATTGCCGACTAAAAAAGAGAATGTGTTTTTTGACAATAATCTGATCTGTACGTCGGGTAGCTTGTGATAAATATTTGTTTGTCTTACGAGGAAACATATTTAAGTGCCCCCCTGATAAAGGTTTTAAACCATTCTATCCTGTAGGGACCCTGATGCACATCATTAATGTCAATGTCTTAGCTGTTTTCGTTTAAGTTTGAAAAAGAAACAGAAAATCAA